AGGTTTCTTACCTTACAGTTAGTTCTCGAGGCCAGAAGTGTGAAACGGGTCTCACTGGGCTAAAGTCAGGGTGTTCCAGGGCTGCATTTCTTTCTGGAGACTCTGGCGGGGAATCAGTTTCTTTCCTTATCCAGCTACTGGAAAGGCTGCCTGCGTTTCCTGGCTCATGCTCCCTACCTCCCTTCAAAGTCGGTCATGGCCGGTCAGGTCTTTCTCACATTTTGCCTCTCCTCCACTAACTCTGTTTACACTGGGCCCATGGGGACCATCTGGGGTAGTTTCCCGATTGTAGGTCAGCTGGTTAGCGGGCAGATCCATGTGCGTCCTCATTTCCCTGTGCCGCGTGCTGTAGCACGTCACGGGTCCAGGGCACTTGGACATGTGTGTCTTAGGCAGGAGGCCATCATTCTGCCTACCACAGTTGGGGCTTGAGGGTCTTCATTATTCCATGTTGTTGTTGTTGTTGTTATGTGCCGTTGAGTCAGCCCTGACTCATAACGACCCCTCCTTGGGTTTCCGAGGCAGTATCACTACGGAAGTAGGATTGCCCAACCAACCTTCCTTCCGAGGAGTGGCTGATGGGTTTGAACCGCCAGCCATCTGGTGAGCAATCAAGTGCCTTAGCCAGTATACTACCAGAGCTTCCTCATTATTCCACAGCAATGGAGATTTGGGCATTTTGACAACATGTGTGTAAATGTTTAGTAAGAGTTGAAGAGTGCTTTATGTTTAGACTTGCAGCCCCTCATTCTCCAGGCCTGTGCAGTTTCACCACTGTCTGGTTCCCCCATATGAAGCATTCCATGTTCTGGAGTCAGAATCCTGGGCTCTTTCACCATGAGCCTCACCTTGCCATGCTTCCGTTGCCTCAGCTGAAAGTGGGGACCATGACCTACACTGCTTAGGGTTCCCTAGATGATGTCCAGGAAGTCTCAGGCAGATAAGCCAAAAAAAAAAACAACCCACTGTCATTGAGTTAATTCCAACTCATAGCAACCCTATGGAGCTCTGGTAGCATAGTGCCTAAGGCACTTGACTGCTGACGAGAAGGCTGGCGGTTGAAACCCACCAGCCACTCCTTGGAAGGAAGGTTGGGCAATCTACTTCCATAGTGATGTTGTTGTTAAGTGCTGTCGAGTCGTTTCCGACT